TGGAGAATGCTTGACATTTACCACTTTTTCAATAATTTCTTGTCGAAAATCAACATTCGGAATGTTATTGATGTTATTGATGCGTGGAAATATTTCTGATTGATTGGTGATAAAATTATTGAAATTGGTCCATGGGCAGCTGAGTTATTAACGTTCAAAATCTTCCATAATTTCGTTACATGGTCCATTTTCGGTTTTCACAAAGTGTACCCCCATATAGAAATTACAGACGTAGTTCTACGTCAAAAGTCTTGTTAAATAAATTCTCAGAGTTCTCACGATCTTTCTTCGCTAGACTTCCGGACTTTTCCCGGTTCTTTCGGTAGACTTCCGGAGAGATGAACCAGCCCAAGGCTGAAAGTCTCTTTAATAAAAAAAAGGTAGACTTCCGTAGTAGTCCCTTGAACTTCGCGGGACTTTCCCAAAGAACCGTCCGGACTAGGCTGTCTGAAACTGCTCCAAGCTTCCACTGGTTTTATTGGACTACCAATAGAGCAGTTTCACGCCAAATGACGAATCGAAAATACTAAACCCTCTCCGATTTGCAAGAAACTTTGCATACTTGTTTGTTATGGGCAATGATTCACACTTTTGCTTAAATTTGGCCATTTTGAATCTGGTGAAACTTTCAAAATGGCATCTTTTAAAATTTTCAAAACATTGCAGCACGCAAACGGCACATCCGGTCAAAATGACGTCTGAGACAAAGTTGTAGGAACAAATAATTGCTTCGCAGGAAAAATATACACGTTCAAAAATTTCAAGTAGTTTTGGGTAAAAATTCCACCTAGAAGTGTCTTAAATTCTCCTTAGCTTCTAGCTTTAGTTTCTAACTCTAGCTTCTAGTCTAGATTTGGCCTGGGTCCATCGTAGATTTATCCTAAGAGTCTTCTTCTTCTTATCACTGATTTTGACTTACGGTTTTTCAAAAATTCCTCAGTCTTCAACCGAACTCTGCTAACCATGTTCCATCATAGATTTCTTCAAAGAGCACTCCCCTCCTACAGAATGGTTGAGTTCAGTCTCAAGTCTATCGATGAGGCTCCAATTTGAACCTTCAAAATTCTAGTCTCCGGAGATGCCCTCAAAATTTCAACCTAGTATTGTAGCCCGGATTTTACCTGGTTGAATTGGTTCCATCGTGTATTTCTCCTAAGAGTCTTCGAGCACTTCTTGAGAATGCCTCACTTCAGCCTTACGGCTTTCATATTCGAAATTCTATCAGCAAAATGTCCTGGAAATGAAGTCTACATTTCAATCAAATGGATGCATTAGATCTTGGGTCCGTCATAGATTTCTCATAGGGTTGTCCCTTCGAGCACTTCTGATCCTATTTTCTCGAGCTTCTAGAAGAACAAATTTAAAATATTTTCCGACTTCATTTTTACCTACTCGAATGATGTGATCCACTCCAGATTTTCCTAGCTTAGCATAAATAAGACCCTATTTTCTCGAGGTTCTAGAAGAACAAATTTCAAAATATTGTCCAATGGCAAAGTTCGAGCGGTAGAAAACGTCATTTCAAACTGCTCGAATGATGTGATCCACTCCATATTTTTATAGCGTAGCATAAGAAAACCCTATTCTCTCGAGGTTCTAGACGAATAAATTCCAAAATATTGTCTCACAGCAAAGTTCGAGTGGTAGGAAACGTCTCAACCTGCTCGAATGATGTGATCCATTCAAGATTTTTCTAGTTTGGCATAAATAAGACTATTTTCTCGAGGTTCCAGAAGAACAAATTTCAAAATGTTGTCCCATGGTAAAGTTCGAGTGGTAGAAAACGTCATTTCAAACTGCTCGAATGATGTGATCCATTCCAGATTTATCAAGCTTACCATAAAGAAGACTCTATTTTCGCGAAGTTCTAGAAGAATACATTTAAAAAAGATTGTCCCACGGCAAAGTTCGAGTGGTAGGAAACGTCATTTTTAACTGCTCGAATGATGTGATCCATTCCATATTTTTATAGCGTAGCATAAAGAAGACCCTATTCTCTCGAGGTTATAGAAGAACGAATTTCAAAATATTGTCCCACGGCACAGTTCGAGCGTTAGAAAACGTCATTTCAAACTGCTCGAGTGACGTTATCCATTCCAGATTTTTCAAGGTTAGCATAAAGAAGACCCTATTCTCTTGAGATTATAGAAGAAAAAGTTCCAAAATATTGTCCCACGGCAAAGTTCGAGCGGTAGAAAACGTCTCAAACTGCTCGAATGATGTGATCCATTCCAGATTTTTCTAGGTTCAATTAGAAAAAATGTCAAAATATTGCCGCAGAATTCGAGTGGTAGAAAACGTCATTTAAAACTGCTCGAATGATGTGATCCATTCCAGATTTTTCTAGTTTGGCATAAATAAGACTCTTCTTTCTCGAGGTTCCAGAAGAACAAATTTCAAAATGTCTGTACCATGGCATAGTTCGTGCAGTAGAAACCGTAATTTTGAACTGTTCGAATGACGTGATCCATTCCAGATTTTTCAAGCTTAGTATAAAGAAGACCCTATTTTTTCGAGCTTCTAGAAGAACAAATTCCAAAAAATAGTCCCACGGCAAAGTTCGAGTGCTAGAAAACGTCATTTCAAACTGCTCGAATGACGTGATCCATTCCAAATTTTTCAAGCTTAGCATAAAGAAGACCCTATTTTCTTGGGGTTCTAGAAGAACAAATTCCAAAATATTGTCCCACGACAAAGTTCGAGTGGTAGGAAACATAATTTTAATCTACTCGAATGGTGTGATCCATTCCAGATTTTTCTAGCTTTGCATAAAGAAGACCCTATTTTATCGAGATTCTAGGAGAACAAATTTTAAAATGTTGTCCCATGGTAAAGTTCGAATGGTAGGAAACGTTATTTTTTCTTCGTTTTATTTATCTAGTTTGGCATAAATAACTCTAGTTTGGCACAAATTCCAATTGTCCCACGGCAAAGTTCGAGTGGTAGAAAACGTCATTTCAAACTGCTCGAATGATGTAATCCATCCCAGATTTTTCTAGCTTTGCATGAAGAAAATCCTATTGTAAGATTCTAGAAGAACAAATTTCAAAATATTGTCCCACGGCAAAGTTCGAGTGGTACGAAACCTCATTTCAAACTGCTCGAATGATGTGATCGATTCCAGATTTTTCTAGCTCAGCATAAAGAAGACCCTATTTTCTCGAAGTTCTAGAAGAACAAATTTCAAAATGTCTTCTGTACCACGGCAAAGTTCGAGTAGTAGAAAACGTCATTTTAAACTGCTCGAATGATGTAATCCATTCCAGATTTTTTTTTTAGCTTTGCATAAAGAAGACCCTATTTCCTCGAGGTTCCAGAAGAACAAATTTCAAAATATTGTCCCACGGCAAAGTTCGAATGGTAGGATACATAATTTTAATCTGCTCGAATGATTCCAGGTTTGTCTAGCTTTGCATAAAGAAGACCCTATTTTCTCGAGCTTCTAGAAGAAGAAATTCCAAAATATTGTTCCACGGCAACGTCATTTTAAACTGCTCGAATGGTGTGATGCATTCCAGATTTTTCTAGGTTCACGCAGAACAAATGTCAAAATATTGTCGCAGGGCAGAGTTTGAGTGGCAGGAAACGTCATTTCAAACTGCTCGAATGATGTGATGCATTCCAGATTTTTCTAGTTTGGCATAAATAAGACCCTATTTTTTTGAGGTTCTAGAAGAACAAATTTCAAAATGTCTTCTGTACCACTGCAAAGTTCGAGTGGTAGAAAACGTCATTTCAAACTGCTCGAATGATGTAATCCATTCCAGATTTTTCTAGCTTTGCATAAAGAAGACCCTATTTCCTCGAGGTTCTAGAAGAACAAATTTAAAAAAATATTGTCCCACGGCAAATTTCAAGCGGTAGAAAACGTCATTTCAAACTGCTCGAATGAAGTGATCCATTCCAGACTTTTCAAACTTAGCATAAATAAGACCTTATTTTCTCGAAGTTCTAGAAGAACAAATTTCAAAATGTTGTCCCACGGCAAAGTTCGAGTGGTAGGAAACGTCACTTCAAACTGCTGAATGATATTATCCATTGCTTGACATCCAGCATTGGGGTAACGCAGACTCGTTGCAGACGTGGAACGACAAGAAATTCGCATCGGTGATCACGCATTCTACATCCCGTAACTTTTAAGACTTCAAAATTTCAAAATTTTGATAGGAATTCATAAAAGTCTTAGAAACATTTAACTTAATACAAAATTGACGGAAGTACAAGTATCGCAGTAAGCCCATTTTCTTCTGCCCGGTATATCTTAACTAATTAAGTTCCTGTGCCATTTACACAATCACTTAAAAGTAAATCTAGTCATATTGCACAGAATAGGTGAAAACCCGCGAAACGCTTTGTTCGCGCGTCAAATTGGAGACAATAAGTTCTAGCGCACTTGTGCATGTTAAAACCATTTAAATCTAACAATGTTGTAGTAATTCACCAGTAATCTAAGTGCATAGGCTGCTTTTGAGGTTAGAATCAATGGTGCGCGCAGTATTTTAATTTCGGAATTGCGGGCTAAGAATATGGTTTTTGTTTGAATCAAATTCAAATCGATGCAGAAGCATTTACTTAACCTTACAAAGAGGTCTGTAGAATTGACATTTAATGTAATAATTGTAGTATTTAAGGACTATATAAAGAGAGATGCAATATTATATTCATATATACAATTTCCAACGGAAACAGAAGAAAACAAATTGCTAGCAAAGTACGAATTGGAGAATTCCAATGCTTTGTAAATTATTGAAATACAAAACAAAAGACGAAAATGTACTCATTGTTGAACGAAAATACATTCACACAAGAAAACCTAGTTCAATAAAGTTGTATAACCTAGTAATGATTACAGAAGAAGTACGCGATCATAAAAGAGCAATAAAAATCAAAACCACACATGTTCTCATTTTTAACCTTCCCGTTGCGCGTGTTGAACAGTTAGACAGGTTTGGCAACACTTGCGTAATCAAATTTTCCCGCCCTTCCGAATTTCTCCGCAGGCTCACCAACGAGCGACGGGAGCAGGCTCGCAAGGATCTCAAGGGACTGGAAGACACCGTGGCCAAGGAGCTGCATACGCTGCATGCCCTGCGGAAGCTCTTCGTGCAGGATCTTCAGGTTTGTGCTGTTCGATGTTAACAAAGGCAATTCTTACCCGGAAAATTCCCGATTCTTCATCAGGCCCGCATCAAGAAGTCCATCAACTCGGAGGAAACGGAAGACGATGGTGGCTCGCTGGCGCAGAAGCAGAAGATCTCCTTCCTCGAGAACAACCTGGAACAGCTGACCAAGGTGCACAAGCAGCTGGTGCGGGACAATGCCGATCTGCGTTGCGAACTGCCCAAGCTGGAGAAACGCCTCCGGACGACGATGGAGCGGGTCAAGGCGCTGGAGACGGCCCTGAAGGAAGCGAAGGAAGGTGCAATGCGCGATCGCAAACGCTACCAGTACGAGGTGGATCGCATCAAGGAGGCAGTGCGTCAGAAGAACCTGGCACGACGTGGACCACAGGCGCAAATCGGTAGGACAGAGGATGGACCGAGACGAAATGCGGGGGCGTGGTTATTAACGCAAAGGTTTTCTTTTTTCGTTTCAGCAAAACCGATTCGTGCCGGACAGGGACACATCCTGTTCAAGACGGCCACCTCCGGCAGCTCTCCGGTGACACCGAAGCCGGTGACGGCAGACGAGAAGAGGAAATCCATTGTGAAAGGTAGGTTTTGGTTCTCTTTTTCTGACCAAAAAAAAAATCCCATTATTGTGAACAAAATACTCCTTCAGCTCAGAAGTTGACATGAAACGCAGGTGCCGTTGTTTTTCAGTGTAGAGCAGTTATTGTCGACGATCAAGATGAGACACATATGAAAAAAGCAATCGTTGTACGACTACTACAAGAGGGGGAGAACTCCCGGTGCTCAGCTCCCAGAACTCCAAAAACTTTCTGGAACTTTAGCAACCCTTTAGAATGTCAATACTCCGAGAAGCTTCAAACCTTCCTGTGGAACTATCGGAGCATTTGGAGCTTTTTCAAGAGTTTCTGTAACTCTTGCATCCCGTAGAACTTCTGAAGAATGCAAGATGTTTCAATACTCTTGAGAACTTTTAATACTTCCAGCAACACTCAGAATTCCAGGAAATGTTCCCTCCTTAAGCACGCTTGGGAACTTCATAAACAAATCTGGTACTCTGCCGTGTGCGTGATAATGTTTGCACCATTGAACACTGTGAAAACAAAACAAAATCTGAAAATTTTCGGAGTGGAAAAAAATTATTTCGACAGTGAGCATGCATAAGGACGTAAACGCGATGATCGATTCTTTTCGTCGATTTTCTCTTTTGTTAATAACTCGCTAGAATTAACGTTTCTCGGTGCGTTTGCTGTTGCTTTTGATAGACAATACAACCTGTTACAACTCTGCATCGAACAAATTCTAGGAAATTGTTTCGCTTAGCTGTAGCAATGCAAAGAGGAAATCAATGAAGAGAATCGATCGTATCGTGTATACGCCCTTATGCTCACTGTCGATTTATTCAAAAAGGATATGTTTGTAAGAACTTAAACCTATGTTAATCATCGATAGAATTTCCATTTGTCACGGCCTCAACACGCTTCCGGAATGCTCGACAGGTTCTGATAATATAGCCCGGATCCATATCTCTCCAGGCGCGGGTCATTTTTTGTCTGAGGACTACTGTACTGGAGTGGCGTTTGGCACAGGCCTTGGCCTTAATGACGCGCCACACTGAATAATCCAAGGGGTTAAGATATCGGGGCTCGATAGCGGTCACATATCCAGAACAACATGTGAAAAGGGCATACAAGCTTTTTGCAAACAAACCTTTGTAAGCCCTTTTCTCACCAACCGAGGGTCGCCCACGCAAACCAGCAATATATCGGGAAGGGTAAAGTGCCCCCTACCCGGTGATGTTAAAGGTTTGCGTTGGTGTCATATGGGTGGCGAGAAAAGGGCATAAGAAGGTTTGTTTACAAAAAGCTTGTATGCCCTTTTCACATGTTGTTCTGGATATATTTCGACCAGAACAGCATATGTTCCGGGCCTTATTACGGGTGTCACTTCAAGGTGAATACGAGTGAAGTGAAGTCACTCACATTTGATTTGCCCGGGAATCACTTCACCGTGAAGTGACACTCGTGATAAGGGCCTCCTTCAGCCAATTCTGCCTGCGGTTCGAGATGTGACATGGTGCTCTGTCTTGCTGAAAGACTACATTCGACTCCGGCCAATATTTCCCAGTAATCCACGCAAGGACATACTTACTGAGAATGCCGATATACACATACGTATTCACTTTATCCCCTTCAGGAATGGTGCAAACATGATCACGCATTCGATAAGACTACAAAAACTGGTGAACTGCAAGAACTCTTGGAACTCCAGCATGTTGAATGACAACCGACCGGTGCGTTTCATAGCAACCTAACAATCTAGATATTAAGATCGTGGTAGGCCTTGCCTTCTTCGAGTTTCTTCTTCTTAAATGGCCGTACCTGCGATGCCACAACTCGAAAACTTCGTGCTTCGACGTCATAGCACTCGCACTCGACTCCACACCACCACGAAGGGAAATGACCAGGACATATAGCTTGACGTCGGAAGGGGTTCGATTTTGACAAGATGTATGCACCTGTAGCCAAAATAACCACAGTGAGAACACTGCTTTCGGTGGTCAACAAGAAGGGGTACTATATCCATCAAATGTACGTGAGAACCGCGGCTCGTTTGTCGCCACAAGAGATCTTTGTATGGCCTGAAGCAGGCACCAAGAAGATCGACGATCGATATCCGGCAACGTATTTCAAGTCTATGGAGCAACGGTTTAGTGGATGACACGAAAGCAAGCGACTGTATCGCTATCGTCAACGGAGGTCGAGTATATTTCCCTTAGTCAAGCGGTGGCGTGTGAGGCGATTTGGCTCAAGAACTTGCTGGACGAACTTGGGGTCATCTTTCATCATCCGATACCGTTATTTGAAAACAACCAGTCTTGCATCCGAATTGCCGAAGAATCACATGTCGACATTCGGTATAACTTTATTCGAGAGAAAATTCAGGATGGTCTTTTCAAGATTATCTACAAGTCAACGACTGAGAAAGTTGCAGATATTTTTACGAAAGGACTGCTAAGGGGACCGTTCGAGGAATTGCGGAACAAGCGAGGGCTTTTCGGTTGAGCGGAGGTGTTGAATGACAACCGACCGATGCGTTGCATAGCAACCTAACAATCTAGATATTAAGATCGTAGGCGACTTTGAATTATGAATTGTTCTCTTTTACCCAAGCTACCGTTCAATAAAGACGTTTTAACTTTGCTCTGCCTATTTTAAGGCCTGTACTCGAAAAAAATGCACCAGACAAAAGTGATCGCCAAAAATGTATTTTAAGTCGGATTTCCTTGAAACTTTCAGGGAATGAACTAATACATATGGATAATGTTTCCGCATAATTACTTTATTCAATTTCTTTTCCATCGCTGAAATCCCGCACCTTTCCCTTAAGACCCCTCATTACATTTTGTGCAATGGTGGAGCCGACCTTTTTGGTCACTTTCATCCATTCTTTCTTCAGCTCCAACTCGTTCTTAAACACCTTGGACGATTTTTGAACTTTGGCCTTCATTATGGCCCAAAATCTTTCCACCGGACGAATAACTGGTGAATTTGGGGGGTTGGCGGTTTTTGGTACAAAAACAACGTTATTATCTCTGTACAAATCCAATGTCGATCACGGGTAATGGCATGATGCCAGGTCCGGCCTAAATAATGTCTCGCCTCCGTGGGACCGCAGGAAGGGCAACAGACGCTTCTGGAGGCACTCAGTGCGGTAAATTTCGCTGTTGATGGTATCCATTGTGATGTACGGTTTACTCAGTTTACCGCATTGGCATATGGCCTGCCAGAGCAAGTATTTTTTGGCGAATTTGTCCACTTTCTTCTTCCTTATGTCTTCCAGATCATCAAACCGTGATTTGGCAACGTAGAACTCCAGCCCCGGTATCTGCTTTGCGTCTTCCTTGATGTAGGTTTCGTCATCTATAACCACACACATCGGTTTCGTTAACCACTCTCGATTCCTTGAAATAATCAACACCTTCCGGGCCTTCACAGGGTCAGCTGTCTTCGATTTTCTTCCACTTCCAGCCCGCCGCTCAATCGTCTGGGACTCCTTAAACGATTTTACCACCCGAGACACAGTTGTATGGGTGATTTCCAGTAGTCTTCCGATCCATCTCATGGTCGCAGTCGGATTTTCCATGACGGCGCGCAAAATTCTCCGGCGATTTTCTTCTTGTTTCGATGACATCTCAATAACCACTGAACCGATTGTTATGAAATTTTGCACATGTAAACAATTCACTCCAAACTATTCATACCCAGATTTTCATCAATTTTTACCCACGGATAAAAAAGTTACACACGGATAAAAATGGTGCATTTTTTTCGAGTACAAGCCTTATTAGGCTATGGGCCCAGCACAGTAGAAGGAAAATTTGAAAAGTTTCGTTTCGTTTGTTCGCGGAAATGGGTGAAGAAAAATTGTGGCTGTTCGGTGGAACCAACTTCGGAAACTGGAAGTTCCGGGTTGAGGTTCTAATGTAGGACAAAGATTTGTTGGACTATCTGGAGAAGGCCATCGAAGACGAGGAGTACGCGATGGAGCTCCAAGCGGACACAGCGGCAGTCAAGGCGAAGAAGAAGAAGAAACTCGAAGAACGCATGGTCAGAAACCGGAAGTAGAGGACCAACTGGACTGCGTGAAGGACAAACGGACGGCGAAGGAAGCTTGGGACGCTTTGAAGAACGCGTTCGAGCGGGTTGGGATCGCCGGGAAGCTGTACTTGACGAAGCAGCTTCAGGAGCTGCGTCTAAAAGAAGGCAAGGCCTACCACGATCTTAATATCTAGATTGTTAGGTTGCTATGCAACGCATCTGTCGGTTGTCATTCAACACAGCAACCGAGAGAACTCTATGGAACTTTGAGAAATTCCGTTTCGTTTGAGAATTTTCCCAAAGGTGTACAGCTACAAGATTTGTGAAACTCCCGGATTATTAACTCTCGAACCCTCAACGTCTGATATCCAGAAATGCAAAAACTACCATAACTCCGTTATTTGTGGTCAGATTTTGTATCTGTCGATCTCAAAAAAACGTAAGAGGTTGTATCCACGATTTGACGTAGGATTACGTGCTCGGTATCAATATTCGGTGACTGTGTTAGGGAGTCCACGTTTTCCCATCACGGAAACACCTCGTTTTCTGATGACAAGATTACGCATTTTCGTGCATCAAATGCACGGAATTTTTGGTTTATTCAATAGATAATAAAGAAAGCGAAAATTGACTGGATGAATTTCTTGATAGGATTTTCCATTCGAGATACTCGTGATCAATCATATAAGTTTTAGAGTTTTTGCTTTTTGCTGGGCGTCTATAATTCGAAGTGTTTCTGGTTAATTGACAAGGTCATGGTTGATTAATGCTGACCTATTAGGGTGTTCAACACGGATGAGGCTGGTGCGAACTGTATGTTGTTTGAAACGAGGGTGACGCACTTGGCATAGATGGCCCACAGCGGCTCACGACAAGCAACTGAATCCGATCAGTAGCGGTGCGGCTTCTTCCTCCTTCTTCGGCGAATCGAGGGCTCTTGAGGGCAGCCTTGATAGCTGGCTGCTTGCGGAGAGCCTTTCGTT